CTTCTCCTCCTCCTCCTCCTCCTCCTCCTCCTCCTTTCTCTCCTCCTCCTCTCCTCCTCCTTCTCCTCCTGGCTCCTCCTCCTCCCTCCTCCTCCTCCTCCTCCTCCTCCTCCTCCTCCCCCCTCCACCTCCTCCTCCCCCCCCCCCGGGCCGCCGTGGCGCCGAGCCTCCTGGGTGATGGCTGCGGAAACGGCCTCCGACTGTGAGCAGCTCACTGGGTCTGCTGACTCGTCCAGCGAGGAGCTCCCGCCCAGGCAGGGCGACGCATCTAGGGGAACGAACAATGACAGAAACATAAAGACTCGGAGGCCCGCTCGGATTTCTCGGCCCAAGAAGTCCGCGTGAGTTGTTATGGTTATGTGATTTTTCGTTCCCCTAACATCCGCCCTCGAGAGGCTACCCTGGGTGCGCCAGTTCCGGTTCCTGCAGCGCGAGGTCGGGAGCGGTGTGCTGTACATCTCGGCGGCGAGCGAAGGGGGGGAAATGAGAAGGAGGAGGTCTTGCCAGAAGGCTAAAGGGGGCTTCTCAGAGGGCCTCCGGCCTCTGAGAGGTTTTCTGTGTCTTCGGGGAAGGCCTAGATTTTTGTTCAGAAGGCTGGGGGACTCCTGAGTTTTCTGAGAAGGCCTTCTCTTTCTCGCTTCCCCACGTCGCTCGCCGCCGAACATTGGCGTGGCATGCTTCTTTTTTCAAGTGATGGGGGAGCTGCTGCCACGTCACGCGACCGCCTGGATCTTCAAGAGCCGACACGTGGACGCCGCGACGATGCAGCAGTACGGCATCTACTTTGCAATGACTGAGGTGTTCAAGCTCTGTTACGGTATTGCCTCCAGTGTGTTTCCCATAGGAGGTCTGACGATGAGGCCATATGCCGTACCTGGGGTGCTAATGATGATAGGTTGTAATGCTGCAGTTTTCATGTTTCAGGGTTCCTTGCCCACGGGCCAGTTTGTGGCAGCTCGTTTCTTGACATGGGGCGCCATCAACTACCTAAACTTGATTACTGATACTGCCTTGGCAACCATACGGAACGAAAAGCCGAACGTAGGCCCATCTTTGTATTCGTTCTTCACCTATTCCGACATAGCGAGGAGCATAGTGTTGGCGCTTTTGGGCGCCAGGTTGATCGAGTGGAACTTGTACTCCTCCTTCGGTGTCGCCACTATCTTATCAATGAGCCTGCTTCCGGCGGTGACCTGCAACTTGTACCCAGAGAGGGAGATGTCGCCGAAGGACATGGAGATGCGCCGGGAAAGTATACTGAAGGATTCTGACGTCCTACTCTTCACCGGGGCACTGCTCGGAGTCGCCGCGTATAACATGATCATGGTCACAATGATGGCCTCGCATCCCTACCTGCAGTGTTTCGTTGTGTGGGTCGGTATCGGATTTATGTGCCTGTGTTGGTGCGGATGGGCGAATTCAGACCTTGCTGCAATGATGGTGTATCGAAGACGCCTACGGCGAATCACCGCTGCCCCCCTGCCTTTTTGGAAGCGCCTATGTGGCCGAACGTTGAGGTCAGACCTGCCAAGCTATCGGACCATGTGTTCCCCGGATCGGTTTGGAAAGCCTTCGGGGAACACGTGGGCATCTTGAAGGTCATCTTGGCCGTCTGGAGGCCATTTTGACCTTTTCGGGCCTTCTTGGAGGACGTCTTGGATGGCTCTTGGGCCGTCTTGGAGGCCATCTTGAGCGTCTTGGGGACCTCTTTTGCCGTCTTGGGGGCCTCTTGGGGTTGTGTCTTGGGCCTCTTGGGCGATATTTGGGAGCACTTGGGCCGTCTCAGGCCGTCGGAAGGCAAAAGACAAGCAAATGCCACAATCCTTCAAAAACCCATGGGAACTCAATGATTTTGATCTTTTCGGACCTTCCTGGAGACCCTCTTGGAGGCCTCTTGGGCCGTCTTGGGCCATCTTAGGGCCATCTTCGACCGTCTTGGTGGGCCCCTGGTCCGTCTGACGCCGTCTGAAGCCGTTTGTTGGGCCTCTTTGGGCCGACTTGAGGCCCTTTTGGAATGCTCCAGGGCCGTCTTGGAGGCCCATCGTGGGCGTCTTAAAGGCCTCCTGTGCCGTCTTGGGGGCCTCTTGGGGCCGTCTTGGGGCCCTCTTGGGCCGTTCTGGGGCCATCTTGGAGGCCTCTTGGGCGATCTTTCGGCGGTCTTCGGGGGCTCTTGGGCCGTTTCGGACCGTCGGAAGGCCGAAAAGAAACACCTGCCAACATCCGTCAAAAACCTTAGGAACATCAATGTTTTGGGCCTCTTCTTTCCTGGAGGCCCTCTTGGGGGCCGTCTTGGGCCAGCTTCGAGCCAATTTCGGCCATCTTGGTGGGTTCCTGGCACGTCTGACGCCGTCGGGAGCCGTCTTGGGGCCTTTCTGGGCCGACTTGGGGTCCTCTTGAGGCGCTTCGGGGCCGTCTTGGAGGCCATCTTGGGCGTCTTGGAGGCCATCTTGGGCGTGTTGGAGGCCTCTTGGGCCGTCTTGAGGCCCTCTTGGGGCCGTCTTGGAGGCCACTCGGGCCGTCATGGGGCCCTTCTGGGGGCTTGGGCAAATTCAGACCTTGCTGCAATGATGTTGCATCCCATTCCACCACCGCGCGCAGGTTGTAGGTGAGAGGCCTCAGAGATGCCAGTGGGGATCTCCTGGGAGGCCTCTCGGGAGCCTCTTGGAGGCGGTTTGGGGGCCTCTTCGGGGCCTCTTGAACCTGGTTTCGGCCTCTTGGGGGCCTCCTCGGGCTGGCCTCTTCGGCGCGCCTCTGGGGTCTCTCGGGATCTTGGCCCGTTGTGGCCCCTCTTGGGAGCTCTTTAGGCCGTCTTGAGGCGATCTTGGGGGCCTCTTGGGCTGTCTTGGAGCGTTGGCAGCCCGAAAAAACAAGAACGCTAACAGCCTTCAAACACCTGAGGGAAATCAATGATTTCGGCCTCTCGGGGCCTTCTTAGAAGTGCTCTTGGAGCCCTCTTGGGGCGTCTTGGGGCCCTCTTGGGGCCTCTTGGGGGCCTCTTGGGGCGTCTGAGGGCCATCTTGGGCGTCTTGGATCGATCTTTCGGCGACTCTGGGTCCTCTTTGGCCGTGTTGGGTGCCACGTGGGGCATAATTGATCTGTTTTCGGGTCATCTTGGCTCTGAAAAGTCACGCGGGAACACTCCCCGGCACGCGGGAAGCTCCAGAGGATGTGCCAATCCTTTGCGCTTCGCGTATCCCCACCAACCCTTTCAGAATCATTGCTCACGAGAGCTGACGCGAAAAGGGACGAAGAGACACATGTAGTGAAACAAAGCGGGCAACCAGGATGAACAGAGAGATCTCTGCGCTGGGAGCAAGGGGGTTGGCCTTGGAGGGTCTCGTCGGGCCATCCCTGGGCCCGCGGGGGGGGCGAGCGGAGGAGGGATTGGGGCTCTCGTGGTACGCTCTTGGGGCGCTCTTGGACCCTCTTGGGGCCCTCTTGGAGCCCTCTCGGGGATCCCTTGGGAGCCCTGGTGGGCCTGTTGGGGCCATCTTGGAGGCCATCGATCAAAATGGGGGGTCCTTGATCTCCCCCCCCCCAGAGCCCTCGAAGTCGCCTTTGGTGGCCCTCGTGGGGCGCTCTTGGGCGATCTTTGGGCCGTCTTGGGGGCATCTTGAACCCCTCTTGGGGCTCTTTTGGGCCATCTCAGGGCCACCTGGAGGCCTCGAAAGCGCATCGGAAGCGAAAAGGTGTCCTAAAGTGTTTTGAGCGATTGTGGCTTCTCGGGGGGGTCTTGAGGGTGCTCCGAAAGCACTTGGAGCCGTCTCGTGGCCTTCTCGGGGCCTCTTGGAGGCATGTCGGAAGCTATCTTGAACCATCTTCGACTATCTTGAGCGGCCTTGGAGGCCATCTTGGAGCATCGCAAGCCCTTTAGGAGCCACATCGGCGCGAAAACAGACCCTCCGACACCTCGCAGAACGGCCGAAAAACCTCAGGGAGGGGAGGGGGAGGATACCCCTCCCTCGAGGGAAGAGGGTTTTGGAAGAGGTAAGAAAGATATCGTTCGACCACCGTAGCCCAAAGGGCTGGTCGAATTTTGGGTCTGGGCCTTGTAATATTCATTCGCTCAGGACCGGCGGAAAACTCCATGGGTCCTGATGACACTCCAACTCGTCCCGCAGGGCACGGTGGCGGATTATTGCGTCAGCAGTTGTGTTGAGATCAGGCTCGACACAGCCGTTTTCTATTTCTACACCGACGAGGAGGATGTCTTTCCAGGCGGCCCTCATTTCGGCCCAACTTTCATGGTCACTGTTGTGCCCCTGCTTGGCGCAGCGCTAAGTTTTTTGGGCCTCACACTATACAACGCGTTCATGACAGAATGGAACTTCCGCACCGTTGTCCGCATACCCCTGTGCACGAAGATGATTCTGCACTTTGTTGACATCATCATGTTCTCCCGGCTCAACGTGCGCGCAGGCATTCCAGACTGGCTGTTCGTCTTCGGCCACCACGCGCTCGCGGACGTGTTGGAGGCCTGGTCGATGGTCGTCAGCCGCCAGATCGTGGCACGTCTTTGCCCTCCGGGCATGGAGGCTGCGGTCCTCTCGCTGTTCTGGTTCTCGGTCTCGATGACCGGGGCCGGGTCCGGCTCCACGTCGGCCGCCCTCATGCACGCGTTCGGCGTCAACCCGAACGGGACCACTGGCGACGTGGACGCGTTCCAGAACATGTGGTCGCTCAGCGTTCTGTCGGGCCTCGGCGTGCTGCTGCAGCTGGCGCTGGTCAACTTCGCGATCCCCGACGCGCCGCAGCAGGAGCCCGTCGAGCGAGTGCGCCGCTGGAACGACGCGTCCCTGCTCTCGAAGTTCCGCGCCTGGCGGGCGGGGGCGGGCGCTGGGTGGAGTGCGCCTGCGCACCGCCCCTCGCACAGATGAGCGTTTTTTAGGAGGGGAAAAAACACACAGACACAATTAATCGTCGCCTCCCAGGAAAGTATGGAAAAACATGGGAAGTGTGGGGGAAGACAAACACCCAGGAAAGATATAATATGAAAATAGGGGGTAAATCTGGTTATCTGTGTCTATTCATTTGTGTGTCCCAGTTCCCCTTCAGTTTTGGGGCGCGAGGCGCCGCAACCAGGCCTCGAGCCAGCGCGTCCCGACGAGCCTGCTGGGCGCGCGGGCGCCGAGCGCACTCCCAGATGCCAGCCAGCACGGCGCTCCTCGCTCGGGGCGAGGCCGCGGGAGCTCCGAGGGAGGCTGGAAGGGCCGGGCCCGGGCGGCCGAGGCCTGCCTTTCCCGGGCGCCCTCCTCCTCCTCCTCCTCCTCCTCCTCCTCCTCCTCCTCCCCCTCCTCCTCCCCCTCCAAGGCCGCTCCTTTTGAGGGACTCCCAAGTCATCTGGCTTGGTTTCGGGCGGCGCGGCCCGGTGCAGGAGCCTGGCCCTGCCGAACAGCCGCTCGGAGCCAGGACCGGCCAGCGAGGCTCGGCGAGCCCCAGTCGGGGTCCGCGGGCGACCCGTGCGCACCGTGCCGTGCTGGCGTCTCCCGAGGCGTGGTCGGCCCTCGGCCTAGGGGATGCTACGGTGCATCGCTGCTCTGCCCTCGGCGAGCCGAAGGACGATGCATTGTGCCGCGCCGGAGCGGGGCCCGAAGGGAGTCCAGACATGGCACGGTGCACAGGTGCCATTCTCGTACAGCTCGGGGATGGACAGACCTCCTACCCTGACACGTCGATTGAGGAATTGGCCGTTCTCGGTTCGCGAGAGGGCGTCGAGGCCGTCATTTTTGCGGGTCCAGGTCCGTAGGTTTCGGTCCCAGGCCGTTTTCACTAAGGGGAGGTCTACTAAAGGGAGGTTTATCCACCGCCGAACAGGGCCCGTGCTGCCGTGTTGCCCTGCGAGGCACGGCCCTGCGGCAGGAGTCCCTGCCGTGCCCGAGAGGCCCCAGAATATCGGGGAGGGCCCCCGGGCCGCTGCGCGTCCGGCCTCGACGCGCGGACCCAGCTCGGTGGGAGCCTCCAGGGCCAGAGAATTCGATGCTCTGCCAGCCGCCTGCGGCAGAGCCCGCGTGAGGGTCAGAGGAGGGGCAGGTATCAATGCCGCTGCCCTTGCCTCGTTTTTCCTTTTTGGGTCTCCTGGGGTGCCCTCGTTACCACGGCTGGATTCGTACCGCACTTCTGGCCAGAGCGCACCCCAGGAGAGGTCCGGGGAATAGCGTTATCGGTACCTTCGGCAGCCTTGAGACGGGGGTCAGTGCAAACGGGGGTCAGCCAGAGCGCCCAAATCTTGCAGGATCCTGCAGGGCCCAGGTCGCACTGACCCGGGCTTGGGTGCAGGATCCTGCAGCCTCTTGCAGGATCCTGCGCGTTGACCCGGGTTTGGGTGCAGGATCTTGCAGGATTCTGCAAGGCCTGGCTGACCCGGGTCTGAGTTGACCCAGGTCAGAAGATCCCCGATACATATCTATTTCCCCATAAGGAGGTTGAGTTAAAGACGCAGGTTGGAGCTTCTCTGGGGCCTCTCCAGAGCCTTTCATGTCCGTTTGGGAGACCTTGGTGTGCAGGGGAATCTCTGGGGGGCCTCTTGCGGGTCTCTTGGGCCTCTCGGGGGCTTCTTGGGGGCTTCTGGAGGCCTCTTTGGGGGCATTTTGGGAGTCTGTCGAGGCCAGCTCAATTCCCCCCCCTCTCGAGCCTCTTTTGGGGCCTCCTTGGGGGCCTGTTGGGCCGTCTTGGGAGATCTTGGGCCGTCTCGGGGCCCCTTTGGACCGTCTTGAGGGCCGCCCGGGCCGCCTGCGAGCCCTCCTGGGAGGGCCTCCCTGCCGCCCTGGAAGGGCTGTCTCGGACCCGCTGGGGGGCACTTTGGGCTGTCCTGGGCTCTCGGAGTCCAGCAAGGGCCAGCACGTGAAGCATCCGAACTCTGAGGAGCTGCAGTTGCTTTTGCTCTCGAGGGCACTTTGGGCTGTCCTGGGCTCTCGGAGTCCAGCAAGGGCCAGCACGTGAAGCATCCGAACTCTGAGGAGCTGCGGTTGCGTTTGCTCTCGGGGGCACTTTGGGCTGTCCTGGGCTCTCGGAGTCCAGCAAGGGCCAGCACGTGAAACATCCAAACTCTGAGGAGCTGCAATTTCCTTTGCCCTCGAGGGCCTCTTGAGCGTCGAGGGCCTCGAGGGCCTCTTGAGCGTCGAGGGTCGAACTGCAGTTGCTTTTGCCCTCGAAGGCCTCTCGAGCGTCCTCTCCTTGAAGCCCGCTGGTGCAGTCTCGGAGGCCGGTGTGGCCGTCTCGAGGCCATCCCGGGCATCTTCGCGCCCCTGGGGGTGACCGACAGAAAGATAAAGGAGCACAAAATGATGGCGGGTGGTGGCGATGCGCTGAGTTGGGGCCCTCGTGGAAGACCTCTTGAAGGCTTCTTTCGGGCTTCGTGGGCTGTCTTGAGGCCACCACAGGCCGTCTGGGATCTTCCAGGAAACCGTGGGTTGGGATGCAACTCCTCGGAGGTCAAATTCTGATTTTGCACTGGTCGGAAGTCCGGCTTAATCCCGCTCGATCCCGCTTAATCCCGCTCAGTCCCGCTTATTCCGAGGCCCACTCCGGCGTAATATCTCCCAAATGGGGCTTAATCTTCCTTAAGCTTTCCGACGAAAACCTCCTCCTCCCCCCTTCCTCCCCCTCCTCCTCCTCCTCCTCCTCCTCTGTCCTTCTCCTCCTCCTCCTCCTCCTCCTCCTCTGTCCTTCTCCTCCTCCTCCTCCTCCTCCTCCTTGTCCTTCCTGGGATCGTCCAGGAACCCGTGGGGGCCATCCGAAGCCTTCGGAGGCCGCTCCCATGCGCAGCTCTGAGGCGGCCAGGGCCGCCAGGGCCGCCGGCCCCTGCCGCTTCGAACCCCCCCTCCAAACCTCAGGAGGGTGACAAAATCACACAGACACAATTCATCGGCGACTCCCCTGGGAAAATATGGGAAGTGGGGGGGAAGACAAAAAACAGAAGACATGGGGAACTATGCCAAAGTATGGGGAATCCTGTTATGTGTGTCTACTTATTTGTGTGTCCGGGGCCCCCTTCATCCAAGCCGGCCGGATGCAGGCCCCCCTTGGAGGGGTCTGGGGAGGGGCAGCCGCACAGGCCGTAAACCCGAGAGGGTCGGCGGATTCCTTCCCCGATGCCCTGCTGCAGGAGCATGCTGTACGGTCAACCCGCACAGTAAGGATGCGCCACTTTCCAAGGCTGCCCTTGCATTCTCCCCCTTTGGCCCATCCCTGGCCGCTCTCTCCGGCCGCACCCCGCTCGCAGAGCGCCGACACGGCGTCCCAGCGCCCTTGCGTACTTACCGTGCGTCCTTACCACACGGGTTCACTGTAACCCGCCCCGGCGAGCACACGGCGCAGCGGCGGATCCACCCGCCGCGTGGAGGATGGCCGCCAGCCGCCGGCCACTCGCAGCTCCAATTCGGGCCGGCCGGCATCGCCTCGAGCTGGCCGGCCATGCGCGCGCTCTGGGGTCTGGGTGGGCCCACGCGTGGGGATGAGGGTATTGTTAAGTCGGGCCTGTCCCCCTACAGGGAGTTTTCGATGAAAAATAACAGATGCTCCCAAAATAGTCCCAAAATAGTCTGGGGATTATTTTTTGTGAGTATTGTTTGACCTTTTTGGAGTTTTTTGGGGGGCATTTTTGATTTTTCGTCGAAATACCCCTGTAGGGGGACAGGCCCGACTTAACACTAAACTTTTAATCTAGAGGATAAAAGAACTTCGCATCGAAGAAGTAGGGGGCACTGCTCTGCAGTGCCTGGGCGCAAGATAAATGTATCGAAGCGACACACGCACAACATTAATTATGTTGTTCCCATGTTTTACAAGGATCCGGTCATGTTCAAAAGAGTCGGTGGTAGTCTGGAATGCTCCCTCCCGCGCGTGTTTGCAATGTGGGACCCTATGGGGTTGCTAAAGCTTCTTGGGATTGTCTCTCCTTCGTCTGCCGTTGGGAGGGCGAAATAGATATGCGAGCGTGGTATTGGCATCATCATCATCATCATCATCATCATCATCATCATCACCATCACCATCACCATCGTCATCATCATCATCATCATCACCATTATCATCATCATCATCCTCATCATCATAATCATCATCATCATTACCATCATAATCACCATCATCATCATAATCATCACCATCATCACCATCATTATCATCATCATCGTCATCATCATCGTCACCATCACCATCATCATCTCCATCACCATCATCACCATCATCATCTTCCTCATCATCATCATCATCACCATCATCATCATCATCATCATCATCATCATCATCGTCAGTACTATCTTATCCCTCCTCTTTGTATCAGTCACCCGCAGGGGCGCAAAGATACCCGCGCTTCGCGACTCGCGGTATGGGTAACACACTTGCCCATCTCTACGGGGTCCGCACCAGAGCGCAACGATCGCCGCGCTTCCCGCCTCTAATGGCATGCACCGTGCACTCACCTTCTGGGGATGTGGCATGCGGGTAAGTTGACAACAGTCACCGCGCGTAGCCACTGTGGCCCAAACCTGCATCATCGTCTCGTTTCTGCGAGGAGTGAGCGAACCCACACTCACGATCTCGTTTGCTGGCACGTGCGTTGACGACGTTGCTGGTGATGCCATCCCATGGGCCCTGGCCATCCTGTTCTCGGCGGCGCGCCTCGCCGAGCCGGACGAGGCCCGCCCGCGGCTTTTGTTGCTGTCGTCGTCGTTGTCGTCGTCGTCGTTGTTGTTGTTTTTCGTTGTTGCGTTTTACTTCATCTTGGGCAACCAAGCAGGTGCATGGGCTCAGGAGTACCGCGATGTACCATCGCATCTATACAACGACGGCTATACCTACATGTTCCATGCTGTGATCGCGAGGTCGGGGGTGGTCCCCCGAGTCAGATTGACCAGAATGGGAGCCTGACCAGTTCATTGTCCAATCATCCATTGGGAGACATTGTGGCGAGTATTCGGGGGTGTTGGTGTACAAAGCATTCAGAATGTTTGACGTGATCCACCCGTTCGTTTGCGAGTTCAGGGGGTCGATGGGTATTTTCAGCATGCCTTGTGGGATTTGTTGCAAAGTGCCCTCGGATGCTGAACCCAGCGGAATGCAGTCTTGGAAGACCTGTGGCCCAGAGTGCGTGAACAATATCGTATGACCCAGCTGCCGCAAGCACCACTTCTGTGTGCACCTCCTGCCATACATATAGCCGAACGTTTGCAAATCGTGTTCCGCTCCGCCGTGATTTCGTTACGGCGGGCGCGGTCCTTGGTGCCCAATAACGGCCCCTGCCGTGCAAGTCTTCAACGCTTGAGGCAACTTCATCCAATGCAGCGGCGTGGCCAACAGCACCAGCGAGCTGTGCATCACCGCGCCCTCTGTGGACGTTCAATGAAAACCACGACGGTCATCGAATGGCTGTCGGCAACTTCTACATAGCGGGGCCGGCATCAGTCGCGCAAGTCCGCTAAGAATTGGGCAGCCCTTCTGATCGCCCGCGGTGCCGACATGAGCCCAGAAGACCTGTCCCAAAACCTGCAGCTTATCAACAGAGATACGTTTAGGAGATTCAGGGTGCGGCTGGATTGGTTCTGCATGCGACTCACGAGGCTCATGTTCCGTCGAACCGATTGGCGGAGGATTGACAGATTTTGCATGTAGATTTCCCCGTAAGGGCGTGGCTGGAAGATGCAGGCTCCCGCGTATCGGCTACTGATGAAGGGATCCGATTTCCCCGCGCATGTGTCCACCAGTGCTCTTGATGAGGACCCAGCTCTCAGCGTTCTGTATCAGTGCAGCTCTCTTTTGTGGCAAATCTACCGTTTGTTGGGCGGGTCCCCGTCAGCAATGCGGAACTTCCAGGGCAAGGCGAGGGGAATTGTCTCCGACGTGGGCGCAGACTGCAGGCTCGCTAAGATGAGCGCCGTGTTGCCATATTGTTTTGCTGCTCTGGGTCTCCGCAAATCAATGCACCGACGGCGATTGTTGTTCCCGCGGGCGTTGGTCATGCAGGCTGGCGCCACAAGACCGACACTTCAATTGCATGGTTGCAGTTCGTGATCGTGGTTTCAAGAATTTATTGCCCGAGTGACAGCGCAGATCTCGCTCTTTCGCGACGAGGCTCTTCGGATTTGAACGCTTGCAACGGGTGGCGCAACTTGCGTAGCGTAAGGATTATGGTTCTGCGTCGATCCCACATATCATATCCAGATCATACGCAAAAGCCGTTTAACCGCGCGGTAGTAGGGGGGCATGGGAAAGTTAAAGGTGGGGGGTGGTTGGGGAAGAAAATGGTTGGTGCATCGGGCAGGGGGTGGTGAGGCAATCGACGTCGCATCAGAATGCGTGAGGAGAAGAAGCACATGGCGCTCGTCGGCTCTGGCACGCGGCGTAAAACCTTGCCTGGGGAGTTCGATATGCCCTCGTGGAGCACTGGAGGCAACGGGGCCGTGCTGACATGGAAGACCCGATCCGAGGTGTGTCCAGGGCGCGCGCGCGTTTGCGCGGGCCGCGCGGTTTCGTCTGGTCGGCGGGGGTGCGGGCGAAGTTTCCCCGCGTGGCCAGACGTGTTGCGTTCTCGGATTTGCGCTTGAATATAGCATGACAGGCTTCCAGGAAGGAGCTTCGGAGGGCGACTTCTCGGGCGGCGGGCAGGTTCGACCCGCGTCCGCACTTGCTGGTTGAGGCGCAAGGGCTGGTTCGTAGTGCGCATGAGTTGGAATCGCGTAAAGTAGGATTCTTGAAGCCGTGTAGTCTTGCTCGACTGCGTTCCCCTGGCGTGCGAGATGCGCGCGGGGCTCTGCGCGGCGCGCGCCCTGGGGTTCACAATGGCGAGACAGCGCGTCATTTCTTGAGGGCGCGGGCGCCGTTGCAACGAGCTATCGAAGCGATGCGCCCCGACAGGAGTAGCATGAGTGCCCGACTAGAGAGTGATGTGTACGTTCTTCGTCGCGCCCCCCTCGACGACGCGGTGGCGGAAAGCTTCCGCCCGGTAGCCTCGCATCCTGTCCGTGGGGCGCGACGGGCGGCCCCCTTTGGGTCGCCTCGAGTTTAAGATTGGACGTGGACTTGGAAGATGCCGAACAGTTCGCGAGATCATTGGGGTGGCCGCCCTGATTTCGTCCGCGCGTCGCACCCTCGGCGCCGAGAGTAGGCGTCGGCGCTCGAGCCTGAGATTTTTCATATAAGTCAAAACATGAAAAAGTGTCTCGGCGCAGTAGCGCCGTTCCTAAGGGGGGTTCGGCGCGGCTGGCTGGGGGCCGGCGGCGGGCGCTGGCCCGGTCGCGGGTTCAGGGGGGGCGGGGTGCCGGGATATAAACCGGATGGCGGCGGCGACGGTGGCCGAGGGGGCGAGGGCGATGGCCATGGATATCTGGAAAAGGGTGGGGCGGCGGAGACGGCGGCGGCGGAGGTGGCAGCGCGGGGCGAGAGCGAAAATTCCACGCAGAAGGTAAGCGAGCTCGCCTATTGGGCGGGGGACGTCCGAGGCAAAGCGTTGTTTCCGTTTCAGTATTATTCGGTGCAACTCCAGAAGAAAATGATTAGCCGCGCGTGTACTTCCAACCGTTATGGATCTACCGCGAGCTAAATTAGCGCGCGCACAGTATCCTTTGCAACAGATGAGGACTGCAGGCCATATTCCGTGCGTGCGCAGGCGCGGGGGCGCATGCTGACTGATGGCCCGCGCGATGGCTGAGTCGATGTGGTGCCCGTCCATGGCCCGGGCCCCATCGACGCGTTCGCGCATCTGGGCTCGTCTCGGGAGGGTCAGCAGCGGTCGAGGGCGCGGAGAACGAGCGAGTCTGGGTTCGAGGGGCGTCTCGCGCTCAACGATGCTAAAGTTGCACCGCGCAGCGGTGCTAGAATTGAATGCCAGTTTTGTCTCGCGTCGATGAACTCGGCGACCTCGGGCGCGCCCGCGCGATCAGCTGTTCAATGTAAAGGCGCCGAAGCGGCGACCTCCATTGAAGCGAGGGGGGCGCTAGCAGGGAGAAGGCATTATTTCTTGTGCCGGCGTGTTCGAGCATGGCGCTCGTGAGTTTTCTCTTTCAGAGCCTGGCGCCCCCCCCCCCCCGGCCGCTTCTCGGGCGCCCTCCGAAGGCAGGGGCCAAAAGCGCAGCTGCCAAGCTCGGAGCGCTTTTGAATCGCGACGGGGATGTCGATGTTATTGGGCAGGCGGCAGCTTTGAGCAAGCCCCCAAAGGAAGTCACGGTTGAAATCCGCCAGCGCCTGGGGATGCTGGGGGCGGCGTTGGCGTGTTGCCAGTTGCCGATGGCGATGCGGATGTCGTTCCAGGCGGCCCTGCAGCGCGCGTCGCCGGCGGCTCCGACGATGGAACGGAGGGGGGGGGGCGGCGGCGCGATTCCAGGGGCTCCTGCCGTGGAGTGATGAGCCCGTGCCCGACCCTCCCGATGCTCCGCCAACTGCGACCGCGCCCCCGGTTGCGCCCGTTGACGCCATCCCAGCTTTGATTGATGGGCAGGGGTTTTGGTGTGAGACCCGCGTGGGCCCTGGTGGTAATATCGCTGCAGGCATCCGAGTTCGCAGCGGCTGCCCCTCCAGTGGGCACTGCCAGCATTTTCGGTCGACAACATTAGGCGTCGACCTCTGCGGCCCTTGCGCTGCAGAGTTTTTCGTCGGGGCATGGCTCCAGTCGTCGCGCGATGTTGACGCGGGCTCGAGCGTCGAAAGCTTCGCGCCGACGAGATGGGGGCATGTGGCAGGGGCAGCCGCCGACATAGACGCAACCACATTTTCAACCGCCGATGCATCACCATCGTATCGGCGAAGCATCGGCGATGCGGCGCGATCTTCCGGCCCCTTTTGGGGTGGTGGGGGAGGTGGCCCTCCGTGAACCCAGCAGCTTTTAATCCGCTCAGGCGCCTTCGAAGTAGGTACGGCCCAGGTGTCCAGCGGACGGCAAGTTGCGTACGCCGTTGGCCAGCAAGGCCAATCCGCAGCTGTAGCGTTAAGTCGGGCCTGTCCCCTTACAGGGGGAGCTTCGATGAACACTTAAAACTATTCAAATAGTAGAAACAATCGATAGATACTATGTTATATATATACATACATATATATATATATATATATATATATATATATATATAACATTTTTGCCATTTTGGAATATGGTTTGAATATTTTTATATTTCGCCGAAAATCCCCCTGTAGGGGGACACGCCCGACTTAACCATACGGGGGGTCTATGGAGGCTCCCGCTCCAGGAGGCCTCGAGAAACCCCAGACCCAAGACGCTGCATGACGTTCCTAAAAAGTTCCGGGGGCCGCGGGGATCCCCCAGGAGGCCAAGGGAGGCCGCGTGATGCTCCCAGGAGGCCGCAGGAGATTCCAGCACCCCCCCCATGAGGCCCCACAACGCTCCACCAGACCCCAGAAGGCCGAAGGAGGCGGAGGGTGCTGAGGGAGGCTCCCTGAAGCCCTCACCGATGTTCAGTTTGATAACCCCATACTCAGACCCACTCGTACTCAGTCCCAGTCGTACTCAGCCGCTCAAGGTCAGACTCGCTTATATCTAAGCTAACCCGCGCTGGTTTACATTCCGATCCAAATCCAGTCATGCTCAACCGCACGCGCGCGCATTCATATGCACTCGCACCCTAACCCAGCCGTAGTCAGACCTCAGACCCATTCATATTCAGACCGTGCTCTATATTCACTTGTATCCAGTCCCGCATAGAAATATGCTTGATAATTGGCCCCGGCGGCCGTCGCTATTATTCACGCTTCGCGTATCCCCACCAGCCCGTTCAGAAACCTTGCCCATCAGAGCCGACGGGAAAAGGGGACGAAGAGACACATATAGTGAACACACATCGGGCAACCAGGATGAGCAGAGAGATCTCTGGGAGCAAGGGGGTGGTCTTGGAGGGCCTCTTCGAGTCATCTTTGGGGCCCGCGCGGGGGGGACGAGGGAGGAGGAGGAGGATGAGGAGAAGGAGGAGGAGGAGGAGGAGGAGCAGGAGGAGGAGCAGGAGGAGGAGGAGGCAAACCGCTTCTTGGGGCCCTCGCGGGTCGCTGTTAGGGCGCTCTTGCGGCTCTCTTGAGGCCTCCTGAGGATCTCTTGGGGTCCTTCCTGGAGGGCCTCTTGGGAGCCATTGTGAAGGGCGTCGGTGAAAACGAGAGGGGTCCCATAGCCCCCTTCTGGGGCCCTCGAAATGGCCCCTTGGGGCCCCCATTGGGGTCCTTTTGGGCCGATCTTGGGCGCACTTGCGGCCGTCTGAGCGGCCTCTTGGGTTCCTCTTGGGGCTCTCTTGGGCCATCTTGGGACAATCTTGAGGCCTCACAAGCACATCGGATGCGAAACTGCGAGAAGGCACACATCAATGATCTCCCATCCGTGTTTGAAGGGTGTTGGCCTTCTGGGGGGGTCCTGAGGGGGCTCCGAGAGATCTTGGAACTGTCTTCTGGCCCTCGTCGGTCCTCTTGGAGGTATGTCAGAAGCTATCTTGAACCATCTTCGGCTATCTTGAGCTGCCTTGGAGGCAATTTTGGAGCATCGGAGGCCCCCTTGGAGCCATCTTGGGCGAAAAAGGACAGCGTGCCACCTTGCGCCCCCGGCCCAACAAGAAGATACGCAGGGAGGTGAGGGGGAGGGTACCATTGCCCGAAGGGAAGAGGGTTTTGGAAGAAGAAAGAAAGATATCGACCATCTTGGCCCAACGGGCTGGTGGGACTACGATTGATTCCGCAGGGCGCCTTTTTTTGTTGAGCGTTGATTGTTTTACTTCGGGCGATGCCCATCAGGGGGCTGCTGCAGCTAGTTTCGAAGTCAGTCGCGTTTGACTCCGCGGTGTATCGCGTGGCTTGCTTGTTCATGCATAATCCAACGGCCGTTGAGCGAGGCTTCCGCATGCGGCTGCTGCCCTCAGTGCCACTTTGAAGATGGACAGGCAGAGCGACCTGTTGCCGGAATCCCTCGAGTGCAAAATGGCGGGAGGGAGGAGGGATGAGGATGGAGGAAAGGGGAGAAGAAGGGAGGAGAAGCAGGGGATAGCTGGAGGGGTGGGTGGGAGCAGGAGGGGTGAAGAGGGGGTAGAGGGGGAGAAGGATGATGAATTTGCAAGAGCCTGAGAGCTTCTGCTTGTTCAGACGCAACAGACGGAGACCAGGCCCTACACTGCAGGCCCCCACACGGAATTCCTGCCGGTGCCTGCTCCTCTGCGGCGTCGAAGCGCTGAAGCCCTTTGGTTGAGACGTGGGTCGTCGCTCCCAGGCTTTCTCCCTCCCCCCTGGGCTTTCTCCCTCCCCCCCCCTAGTGCCCCACTTGGGCGTGGCAGTGCGAGGCGTGTCTTTCGTAAAACCCTTCCCCAGGAAGGGTTCTCCTCTTGCTTCCTCGGAAAAGGCTTTTCCTTGGAAGGCTTCCTTTCTGGATCTGTTCCCACTTCCCCAGGCAAGGTCTTCCCAGGAGGGGTCTGCGAAGGCGACGCGGCGGTCTTCGACCCCCCCGGGCAGGCACTCCCAACCGAGCTTGCGGTCGGGAATCTCGGCTTGGCGTGCCGCGCCGAATGCTCTATCTAGCCCACCGCGCTTCGAGGCGACGCGCCATCCGTGCCCTTAGGGGGCCACATGCGAGCCCTACCCCTACCCCCCACGATTCCTGAGCGAAGTGAACCCCGCCCTCCCCCTCAGAAATCGTGGGGGGTAGGGGTAGGGCTCGCATGCGGCCCCCTAGTCCTGGCACCAGGCGTCAACGTTCCGAGCTTTCCCCGGCCTCCCGCTCCCACGGAGCGGCGGAGCGACGCGCTGCCCGCCCGCGGGGCACGGCGTGGCTCTGGGGGGCCGCCGCCGGCGACACGCTCGGCAGGCGTGCTCCCGACCGCGCTCGGGGCCGTGCGCAGCAGGACTCTCTGGTGGCAGGAGCACGGGGCGGCTGCCAGTCCAGCTGTGAGCCTCCCGGGGCCGCCAGCGGCTGCGCCGGGGCCGCCAGCGGCTGCGCATTCGGGGCCGCGTGCAGCAGGACTCTCTGGTGGCAGGAGCACGGGGCGGCTGCTCCTCCTCCTCCTCCTCCTCCGCCTCCTCCTCCTCCGCCTCCTCCGCCTCGGCCTCCGCCTCCGCCTCCGCCTCCGCCTCCGCCTCCTCCTCCTCCTCCTCCTCCTCCTCCTCCTCCGCCTCCTCCTCCTCCTCCTCCTCCTCCTCCTCCTCCTCCTCCTCCTCCTCCTCCCCCCCGGCTGTGAGCCTCCCGGGGCCGCCAGCGGCTGCGCTCCCGACCTCTCCGCAGGCGCGATGCTGAGCCTCGGGGAGCCGGGCCGGATGACGCGCCAGCACCCCCCCCCCCGGGAGAGCTCCCGGCGGCGCGCAGCGGAGTCGGTGATCTGCTGGCATCACGTGGCTGCTCGTGTAATCATAGAAGGGCAGCCACGTGATTCCACATGGCTGGGGAGGGGAACACATGTTATCCCCAGAGCCTATGATATACGCTCCGGGGATAACGCGGTCTACTTGGATGACCGTGGGGGTTATTAAGTGGATAGGGGGATTACAAGTGGATGCCAAGGTGGGTTATATCAGATATAACCCAGATATAATATATCTGGCCCAACCTGACTTATAAGTGGGTTACAAGCGCCCCGAATGGCTTAGGGGGTTAGATAACTCCTCTAAGTGGGCGGAGCCCACTTAGCCTGGATCGTTAACCCCCCTAAGCTATTTAAGGCACGCGTAACCCACCTATCCATTTATTGACCCCCACGGTCATCCAAGTACCCCCCCCAGACCCCCTGCCCTCCCGGAGATCCGGGCGTGGCAATTTTTCCACAACCAGCGTTTTCGCCCAGTTTCGGGGCCCGGGACCCTCACAGATCGGTCCGGCTCGAAACATGAAGCAGAATGCAATGCTGTATTTTTTGTTACGCCGGATCTCAGGCCCCCCTCGTAACGGTAACGCCTGGGAACCCGCCACAGGCGTGAATTCTTGCAGGTCCCACAGGACCTTGTCGCCCCCTCGTGCAGTTCTTACGCGTCCTGACAGGATTCCTTGGAGCCACCTGCTGAAATGCGAGGCGGAGGAGGAGGAGGAGGAGGAGGAGGAGGAGGAGGAGGAGGAGGAGGATCCTCCCGCCGACCCCCCCTTCGTAACGCGTTACCCCCAGTGGATACGATCACGATTTCCACCCAACCACACTTACACTGTGCGTGCGCGTCGGCCCCCCAGGGCCGACACGCGCGCGCTCATAGATCTGATAGGTCATGCCTGGTGGTGGAGCTTCTGGGCCACACCGCCTGGCCAGCGACGTACTCCGATGTGTTTGCGGCCCCGCCGCCGCTGACCCGCCGATGCAGTAGCCGCCGTGGGCCCGCCGTCGGGGCTGGCCGCGCCGCCGCTCGGGGAGCGACCCGTCCCCCCTGAGCCGCTCGCTCCGTCCGCCCCTCTTTCGGCCGCGCCCTCCTCCCGCTTCTCCTCTTGCATGGTTGCACAGGTCGCTCTAACGGCATCCCCGTTTAGGCACGATCCATCGCCAGCGCACACGTACCCTGCCTAGCCACCGACGCCAAAACATGTGGACATGTGCCTCCAAGGGAGGCTCGTAGTACTACTATGTCCTTCTGCGCCCCCATCAACAACATCCCAAACACTTCGGATCATCCTGCCGCGGTGCTGGGGTGTCGTGCAGGTGGCCGTGGCTGGACTGGGCATGGTTCGGGTCGAACGAAGGCCCTGACAAACTCGCGTCGTGAAAATCACGGTGTTTGGGTTTGGGCTCTTCTCGGCCGCCCTCGTTTGGAGGGCGTCCAGACACGACCCGGAATGACGAGCCAGTCCCCATGAAGAGGTCCTGACCTCCTTGGGGGGCCACGGCGTAAACACAAATCACGACGTCGGATGCCTGGGGAAGGGGGGACTGGTCTTGAGACGGCAACGCTCTGTCCACAACAAGATCGGCGCTTCCCCAGCCAGGGGTGCCGGTTACGCGGGCCCGTGCGCAGGAGCGTCCGCCTCTGGCGGAGCCGCTCTGCCCGCCAGGACGCCTGCTGCCCCACCGGCGCCGCCTCCTGTCCCGACCAGCTCCCGCCCAAGTAGTCCGGCCCGGGCGCGCGACGACCCCCCACCGCCTGCCCCACAAGAGGCAGGTGCCGCCGTGTGCGGGAGCGCCGCGAGCGGACATGGCCACCCACGCGCGAAGTTTGGGGATCCGCCAGAGGGCGTGCCCCTGAAACGAGCCGCGACGGGCGCTTCCCCAGACACCTCCCCAGCCCCGACCCACACCACCGCGCAGCGAGGACACCCTGAGTGGAACCCGTCCCCCGACCCACGCACACCTGCAAGCCTGGTGCAGCAGTGTGGGGGCGCAGCTCCGCCCAGCCCACGCGGCCCCCCACCTCGCGGTGTCGAGCGTCGGGACACCGGCGCTGAGCGGGGGCCGACACTCGAGGCAGAACACTCCGATGGCGGCACACGGGCAGACGCCCCCGACGAGCCCGCCCGCAAGACTTTTCGCACCATCGAGAACACCCTGTCCACCCCCCACGCGCCAGGGCACGAAGGAGCTGGCAACCCCCGTAGAGACGACCGCTCCTCTCACCAGCGCGGTCGCTCCCACCGGACGGCAGTCCTGGCGGGCAGCTATACCACCCACGGGGACCCCACCGACAGGCCGTACAACTGGCCACGCCAGGCCATCACATGGCACCCTGTTTGGAATTACAGCGACAACCGGAGCGAGTTCTGGCACGAGGTCGTCAACCACCTGAAGCAGGAATTCGCACGATGCTAGTCTTCGGCTGGAACGCCGTCTGTGACCACCGAACATGGCGCCCGGGATTTCCCCGGGATCAGCAGGTCCTGGACGAGGGCTTCTGCGAGGAATTCGTTGGCCAGCTTGTCCAGGCCAACTTTGTCCGCAACCTCTGCTGGAACACGGGCATCCATATCAATTGGCAAAGTGCCTGGGGCCGGGACCAAGAGATGGAGAAGAGAAGTCTTTCTGCCAAGAGTGAAAAAGGCAAAGGAGAAAAGCACTGCCCCCCACGGCAAGGGCAAGAGGCCTGCAGATTCCACCTGGTCGGGCAACGACTATTCCAGGCAGCGGTGCCCAGGGTCCTTTTGTCGCTACTGATGCGGCCAGTGCCAACCGCGGACATTCCTGTTGCTCAATGCTGGCCCGTCTCGTCGGCATCCCATGTGTCTTGACCAGGGCAGGGCTCTGCCCTCGTGCGCATGAGCTACCCCGTACCAGGCCCGCCGCCATGCGGCCGGCCCGCATGTCACAATTCTGTGCGCCAGTTCGGTGCGTCCCCGCCTCCTGCCCAGGTCTGGGCGCGCACCCTCCATGGCGCTGCCCGGTCGACGCTACAGCCTCACGGCATCTCCGCGGCGGGCGTTCTACGCCGCCCTGGCTTAGTCCCTGCCTTGGCAGCCCCCGTGTGCGCTGGTCCCGGGCTTCGCCGGGGCTACCTGCGCCCCCCCCTGCCCTACCCCGTGGGCAGCTGCCGCCGCCGCCGCCTCCGCCTGCTTTTCCGTCGCAGCTCCATGTACTGAGCACTCCCAAGTTCTCGCGCGGCGTGCGCGCCTCTCCCCGTTCTAGGGCGGTCCGCCGGCCGTCTTGCCGGCCGTCCTGGGCCGAGCACGGGCTGGTCTGGCCGCTTTGTCCCGCCTTGTCCCGCCATGTTCCCCTGTGGGAGCGTCCGCATTTTCTCCCTCGCCCCACCTCGGGGATGTTAGCGTTCGCCGAGCGCATCAAGGCACGGGGGCAGGCGGCCAAAGCGTCCTCTTGCTGATGCTGCTGCTGCTGCGTTTTTGTTTTTTTCAGTTATGTTCTGCCTCGGGGCCTTCGAGGGAAAACCCCTGGGCAGAGACGCCTGCCATCCTCGCCGCCGCCGGCCGCCTCGCAGGTCAGGGTTGCCCTCGGTTCCTCGGCGCGCTGGCCCTCTGCAGGCTTCTGGCGCCGGGCCGCGTCGCCTGCCCCCCTCCGCC